GCTGCTGCTGCTGCTGCTGCTGCTGCTGCTGGTCTTGCTGCAGTTTTTTCTGCAGTGGTTGAAACATATAAAAGTGTTCCTGCTGCTGTTGCTGCTGCTGCTGCAGCAGCTTCAGCTGCTGCTGCTGTCTTATCTGCTCCTCCCGCCGCTGCTTGTGCTGCTGCTGCAGCTGCTCGCTGTGCTGCACCACCAACATACTTCTATAGTGAAGAGCCAACGCATGCAGCATGGCGACATGCAGTGCTGCTGTTGCTGCTGTTGCTGCTGCTGGCTTTCTTGCTGCTGCTGCTGCTGCTTTTCCTGCCGCTGATGATCCCCCGGCCGCTTCTGGTGCTGCTTCGCTTGTTGCTCCTGCTGCTCCTGTTGCTGCTGTTGCATCTGCTGCTGCTGTGTCTGCTGCTGCATCTGCTGCTGTGCCTGCTGCTGGGGTTGTTGGTGCGTCCGTTGCTGTGGTTGCTGCTGCATCTGCTGCTGCATCTGCTGCTATGCTTGCTGCTGTGTCTGCTGCTGCATCTGCTGCTGTATCTGCTGCTGCATCTGCTGCTGTGTCTGCTGCTGCGGGTGCTTCTTCTGTTGGTGCTGCAGTTGCTGCTGCAGTTGCTGCTGCTGCTGCTGCTGCAGCGGGAGGAGGCAAAGCAGCAGCAGCAATAAGGAGCCGCTTAGCATCAGGCCCGTCAGCTGGGCTGAAGGGATCGAAGCTGAAGGCAATCCGTCTGGCTTGCTGCTGCTGCTGCTGCTGCTGCTGTTGCTGCTGTTGCTGCTGCTGCTGCTGCTGCTGCTGTGGGTCATCATCGACTTGCATGTGTTGCTGCAGTTGCTGCTGCTGCAGCAGCAACTCCTCCTGCTGCTGATCGAATTCCTCTCTGCATCGTTGCTTCTGCTGCTGCCTCTGTCTGTATGCTCTCCATGCAGCAGCAATCTTCAGCTGCGCTTGCTGCTGCTGCCGCCGCCGCTCCCGCTGCTGCCGCAGCAGCCGTGTCTGCTGCAGGAAGGCCTCTCTGCCTAGGGCTGTGCTGCAGCCCCCAGAGCCGGAGAGGTTTACATTGCGGGTCTTGATCCCCCCCCAATCGTACATCTTCACCTGCTGCTGCTGCTGCTGCAGCGGCTGCTGCTGCTGCTGCTGCTGCTGTTGTTGCTGTTGTTGTTGTTGTTGTTGTCGATGCTGCTGCTGCTGTTGTTGTTGCTGCCGTTGCTAGTTTGTTTAGGGGTGCTACTGATGTTTTTGATAAGGATTTTGCTGTTGCTGCTGTCGCCGTTGCTGCCGCTGCTGCTGCTGCTGCTGCTGCTGCTGCTGTTGCTGCTGCTGCTGCAGTCAATCTGGGGTATGCACGCAGCAGAGCCAGCTGGTTGAGGTTGCTGTGCTGTTATGTTGAAGATGTAGCTGGTTTCTGGTGAAGGTGCTGTGTCTAGTGTTGTGCTGCTGCTGCTGCTGCTGCTGCTGCTGCTGCTGCTGCTGCTGTTCGGCTGTTCAGCTGCTGGTGTTGAGGCAGCTCGTGTTTCGTGCTGCTGCTTGCTGCAGCAGAACCTTCTTCGCTGGATCTATAGACTTTGTTTCTTCTCATATATAAGAGAAGAGGAATTTCGTCAATACACTAAAGTCATATACCGCTGCTGCTGCTGCTGCTGCTGCTGCTGCTGCTGGAGCTGCTGCTGCTGTTGCTGCCGTGGCGTTGCTGCTGGTGCTGCTGCTGCTGCTGCTGCTGCTGCTGCTGCGAGGGGGGCCTGCTGCTGCTGCTGTGTTAGGGCTTAGAACCCAATACTAGTGTTTATATAATTTATTAATAACTTCTTTTTAATAGTTTATATCATTTGGGTGAGCTCGTTGCCGCAGCATTTACTCTTACAGCATAAAGCAAACCCTGCTGCTGCTGCAGCGCAACCAGCTGCAGCCGCAGCAGCAGCAGCAGCAGCAGCAGCAGCAGCAGCAGCAGCAGCAGCAGCGGCTCCCAGCAGCAACAGCTGCTGGCAAAGGCCCCGCCCGGGGGCTTTGTTTCTTCTTCTCTTTAAACTGCAGCTCGCTTTGTTGTTTGCTGCTGTACCTGCAGTTGTATGTGTCTCAACAGCAGCATTTAGGGGGCCGAGAGCAGCAGCAGCAGCAGCAGCAGCAGCAGCAGCAGCAGCAAGTACCACTCTTCAAACGCTCTAGCTACAACTGCTGCTGCTGCTGCTGCTGCTGCTGCTGCTGCTGCAGCAGATACAGCAACCTGCACAGACAGCGCAGAGTCAACGACACCCCTTGTCTCTTCTTTGGGGTTCG